AGGGGATGGGGCTCCCCAGGGGACCAGGGGACGGGGCTCCCCCAGGACACCAGGGGACGGGGCTCCCCAGGGGACACCAGGGGATGGGGCTCCCCAGGACACCAGGGGCCGGGGCTCCCCCAGGGGACACCATGGGACAGGGCTCCCCCAGGACACCAGGGGATGGGGCTCCCCCAGGGGACACCAGGGGACGGGGCTTTCTGGGGAAACAGCAGTGGCACCTCAGCCATCAGGGTCCCCCGGAGACGATTACTGTTCAGTCATTGGTCTGAACACTCAAAGAATTTTCCATGTGCAGAGTTCAGACTTGCTGCACTCCACACTGGTCCCGGTCCTGTCCCCAAGCGCTTGCTTGTCCAATGGTCTAAAGACTAAAGTCTTGCACGAAACCGCCTGTCCTCGGATCTTTGCTAAAAGATGTCGTGGGGTCGAATGAGGTGATGCTAATGGGAAACAGGACAATTGGGTACTAAGTTAATTTTTTAATGACCCGAATGTTGAATTTACATATCACGTTCTGGGATGCACAGTTCTCTGAAAGCAATAAATGTGTTCCTGTGTGGAAACTCCGCACGCGTGGAGCTCAGTCAGCGGTGGCGGCCGGTGGCCGAGCCGCTGCTGGCTGTGTGGGGTCTGGGATGCAGGACTGGTCCTCAAGGCCTCCATCCTGATCCTCACTACTCCAAACCCACTTGAAACGCTGCTGCTAAACAGCCTTTCCTCAGTAAGCCTGGAAAGCAGATCTCCAGCAGATGCAGCCGGTAGTGTGGAGAGGCGGCGGGCAGGGCCTCGGGCGCCGGCGTGGGCTTCCCCAGCGTGGAGAGGCGGGCAGGGCCCTGAGGCACCAGCATGGGCTTCCCCAGCGTGGAGAGGCGGCAGGCAGGGCCCTGAGGCACCAGCATGGGCTTCCCCAGCATGGAGAGGCGGTGGGCAGGGCCCGGGAGCCGGCGTGGGCTTCCCTGTCCTGACTCAGGTGTGTTCCTTCCAGGCTCTCGGAACCAGACCCCAGCCACACCCTGGAAGAGCGCGTGGTACACTGGTACTTCAAGCTACTCGATAAAAACTCCAGTGGAGACATCGGGAAGAAAGAAATCAAGCCTTTCAAGAGATTCCTTCGGAAGAAATCCAAGCCCAAGAAATGTGTGAAGAAGTTTGTTGAGTATTGCGACGTGAACAACGACAAGGCCATCTCTGTGCAGGAGCTCATGGGCTGCCTGGGCGCCTCCAAGGAGGAAGGTAAAGCAGACACCAGGAAGCGCCACAGTAAGAGCCCCCTTCCCCACACGCCACCTGCCGGGCGCGCTGTCTGTGTGCTGACGGGGTCTGTGTGCTGACTTCATAGGCTGTTGTGTCTGTGTGTTGACTGTGTCTGTGTCTTGACTCTGTTTGTTGACTGTGTCTGTGTGTTGACTGTCAGTTGACTCTGTGTGTTGTCTTCCGTAGGCTGTTGTGTCTGCATATTGATTATGTCTGTGTGTTGTCTTCTGTAGGCTGTTGTGTCTGTGTGTTGTCTGTGTCTGTGTGTTGTCTTCCGTAGGCTGCTCTGCCTGTGTGCTGACTGTGTCTGTGTGTTGTCTTCTGTAGGCTGTTGTGTCTGTGTGCTGACTGTGTTTGTGTGTTGTCTTCCGTAGGCTGTTGTGTCTGTGTGCTGACTGTGTCTGTGTGTTGTCTTCTGTAGGCTGTTGTGTCTGTGTGCTGACTGTGTCTGTGTGTTGTCTTCCGTAGGCTGCTCTGCCTGTGTGCTGACTGTGTCTGTGTGTTGTCTTCCG